ATTTTGGAGTTCATAAAAGTTTGATAATGCGGCTGGATTTTGAGGGCAAGAAAAGACACAGCTTCAATGATTTGGGCGATTAGTGCAGTTGTAGTGGTTTTATTATTAGGGAGAAAGGGTACAATGGTCAATTACTTCCCTCCAAACTTACCATTTTGTCCTCTCCATTGCGATGCAACTGCCAGTTAAATCATCCCTATTCTTACTGTTAGCCAAACTTGATGAGATAAATCAATTTTCATCGCATTAAACATATATAGTGTTTTCTTGTTGTTAACCAAATTTGTTCAATTTTATTTTTATATTTTCTTATATCACGAGTTTTAGATTTATTGAGAATATTATATTCTATGAGAAGACTTAATGATAAGATGCATATTAACCATATATTCTATGATATTTTCCTCATACTTGAATAACTAAAATTGTTTAAATTATGGATTTTGATTATATTTCGTATTTTTTGGATTAGGTTGAATATTTGGATTAAACAAGTTTAAAATCTAATGACTAACATGATCTTCACCAAATCCCAAATTAATGAGGAAAAATCGAAATTCAAGAAGTTGCAAAACCAGAGGAGGTTTTCGCATAAGGCGTGAGCACGGCTTCTTCATCCTAAGCTATCGTAGAAGAAGTCTGCAGTAAAGGCGTGGGCACGACTTATTCATCCTGACTATCGCAGAAGTAATTTAGAGTTAAAGCGTGGGCACGTCTTACCAGACTGTACAACCCTAAATTAGGATTACGAATTTACAAGGGAAAAGGAGTTTAATGACGGATTAAAGACTCTATTGAATCATTCTTATCTTTATAGAAGGTTAAGGGTATTCAAAAATCCCTATTGAATCATTCTTATCTTTATAGAAGGTTAAGGGTATTCAAAAATCCCTATTTTGGTGGGATTCACTTTTGAGAAACTTCCTTATCTAGAATAGGGCAATCCTTATAAAAGGGGAGCTAGGTTTTCATAGGAGGCATTAAGTTTTATAATATAAGAGTTTTATAATTTAATTTTTTATGACACTTGTTTTATAATATTAGTTTTTTTATATAAAAGAGTAATATTTCATATTTTAAAATTATTGATGTTATATGTATCTAAATATACTAAAACTTTATGGGTATTTCTATGATCAAGTATAAATATCTATTTTTTCCTAAACACTTTGATGTAACATGATGAAAATCATAGAAGTATAATAATATATAAAAAAGCATCAGCTCATTTCTTTTTAATGATTTATTATTTTATGTTTTAATCTAAAAAAACTTTGAATGTGAGAAAATCTAATATAGAATAATGTCAATAAAATACAAAAACACAAAAAAACTCTATAAATTGCATTATTTAATAAGGTTGTTAGATTATCTTATTTTTTAACATTAATTGACATAATTTCATGACGTATTTTAAAATCGTCATATAAAAGTAGAGATAAAAACAAGTGACAAATAATTGATTTCGTCGTGCTAAAATTATTTTTTGTGACAATAATAAAATGTCACTTTTAGTGTCTTATAAAATATGACAAATTAAATTGCCACGAATAAAACTTATTAGTGACAAATATGTAATGCCACTAATTCAAATTCAATCGTCATTATAATAAATTGTCACTAATACATGTTTTTCATTGGAGATGATTTTACAACGTCATTATTTTATCTAAATGTCATTAAAAGGTTTCCCACAAAAGAATTTGGTGGGAAGATTTTGGCGCCAAACATATAGTGACAAAAATCAATGACCATTTTTAAAATTGTCATAAAAATATACCATTAATCAAATAAATATGAGAAAAAAATGTCACATTATAGTATGTTTTGTGACGATATACGTAACGTCATATAGAAATTTTGTCATAAATTGACAAATTTGTTGTAGTGAATTTAGTGGGAGTAAACCAACTTATACCCTTATTGCCAAAGGGAACAAGTTTAGTTTAAATCAGTGTCCAAATTATGATTTTGAAACCAAGGAAATGCAAAAAGGTTCATTATACTTCATAAATAAATAAATTTTACTCTATACTCAGGTTCGTATGCATTTAGGCATAGCATACAATTTTAGGATATTAAATAGATATTTAAGCAATTTGGGTATGGATTGTTGGATAACAACCAAATTAATTCATACAATACATTTAAGCAAAAATATTACAAGATCGCATATTGAAGGTCTAATATGTAAGCAATCATCCAGTTTACGGACTCCGACTTAATGTAATATGGATGCAAAAATTTGTCACATGAACTATTAATATGGATTTATAGAGAATACCACTTGAGTTATTATATGACAACAGAGTTGCAGTCCTTTATTTCATATATATTATAAACACCTTAATGCCTAATCACATAGACATTATGTTTCTGGTTGTTAAAGAAAATTCAAAGTGGTTATGTATTTATAAAGTATATTGGCACAAACACATAATTGTGTGCTTACCATGGAACTCACTCAATGTCTTTCATGAGCCCACTACTCTTGTGGGTGTAATATCGTTTAAGGATATTCAGTTTTAGTAGAAGTTTTTAATTTAAATGATCGATTGTTATAGACACAATTTTAGTTACTTTAATTTAAGGTTAATTTCAGTAGAAATAAAGTTTATTTTTGTTTATTCAAACTTTGATTTTAGTAAAATTTGATCTCATTAAGGTTTAAAGAGGACTAGTTGTAAATAAACATGTATGGTTCACATTGAATGTAATTTTCATTTTATGTCCAATGATTGATCTATGTCATTTGGCTTGTTTATATACGTGACAATTGATGGGTCAATCATGATTGATATGAAAAATTCCACTTTGATCCTATATGAATATAGTTGATGGAAAAGTGTAATAGAATACCTATTGTTTGATAACAAATTTAGAGCTCATTAGGTTATACATTTGTCAAGAAACATATGATTCCCAAGTGAGAGATTGTTGATTAAAATTCATAATTATGAGTATATATTTTTAATTTATATTGTTCTCATAAAATATGACAAAATTAAGTGATCAACCATGCTAATAAGTCATAAGGAATTAGAAATATACAACAACAACAACAAAACCCTATTCCCAATATGCAATGGGGTAAAGGGGAGGTAGGGTAGTAGGCTGCCCCCAACGCCAGGTTGAGAGCAACTTCCGTGTAAGACCTTCGGCAATCAGAAAATTAAAAATAAAGATAAAATACAATGCATGTATAAATATCATGAGAATAAAAGAGTATATATTATTGAAGTTGTATTTATAATTTAACGACAGATAAAGTTATAAATACATACAATAACTTATTCTTAAATCAATTATATAATGGGGTTATGGTCCCAAAAATATATCATCTCGTATTTTCTCTTATCCCATTAGATTAAAATTCATAATTATGAGTATATATTTTTAATTTATATTGTTCTCATAAAATATGACAAAATTAAGTGATCAATCATGATAATAAGTCATAAGGTATTAGAAATATACAACAACAACAACAACAAAACCCTATTCCCAATATACAATGGGGTAAGGGGGAGGTAGGGTAGTAGGCTGCCCCCAACGTCAGGTTGAGAGCAGCTTCCGTGTAAGACCTCCGGCAGTCAGAAAATTAAAAATAAAGATAAAATACAATGCATGTATAAATATCATAAGAATAAAAGAGTATATATTATTGAAGTTGTATTTATAATTTAACGACGAGCATAGTTATAAATACAAACAATAACTTATTCTTAAATCAATTATATAATGGGGTTATGGTCCCAAAAATATATCATCTCGTATTTTCTCTTATCCCATTAGAGAGTTTATACTAAAAAAATTATATTCTTAGAAGATCACAACCAAAGAAATACTCAATGATTTCAACCTATCAATTAATTCAGATACGCTTTTGCATATAGTATTTTATTATTGATGATTCGACATGATTTGATCTTGATTATTTCCATGTTTACTATGGTTTGATTCTAACAAAGGTCTTTATCAAAATTATCATTTTATTGTTTATATTGAATATTATTGCAATGGATTACTCTCATAGCTAGTTTCCTAGAGACGAATTCCTCAGATGGTACCATAATTTCCATATTGATATTATTTGCTTAGACTGTATCTTAATTCGTATATATCAAACAAAAAGATAATAGATCAGATAAATTATATGTTTTCAAATAATGTGAGATGTCCATATAGTCCATCGTCACAAATAGATGCTTATTTGATAAACTTCACATATGACCGTTAGTTAGATAATACCTTTGAATGTCTGAATTTTTTCCCCAAACGGTACATATTTTCAATTTAGATAATTCCATCGCAGAGCCTACAATGTGTATAGCGCAACGTACAAAAAAGCATTACCTAACATCAAAATCATTTTAAAGGCATATAATCAACTTGATCAAGTTTTATCTTTTGATGCATTATGATTTCAGAAGTCGATTGCCTTTTGGCACTCATCACGTGTTTAAGGCTAATGCAACATTTACATATCAATTAGAGGCATTTAGGACAGTTTATTGAACACTTATATACTTAAGATTATATTTGGATACGCTGCTTGCGTTTGTGAATTGTTTTTTTATGTCGCTCGATTTTGATTTGTGGTTTGTTGGTGATATTTTAATAGCTTGATCATCTTTTGTGGTTCGTTTGTCGATGCGGTCAATTTTGTTCATATCTACCTTTTATTCATGTTTATTTGATTAGATTTTTTAAACTTTTCCTTGTATGATCCTTTCGTGATCTTAAGATACTAGTTTCTTGTGTTAACAAGAAAAATATAATTATTATATGTTTATTGTACGACTGTGAATATAAACTTTCAATGTAATTTAGATAATTTTCTAATTTTAATATATTCAACTACTTCTATCTTATAAAGAAACAAATAGAAATACTATATTTATGGATAGTCCACAACTATATAGTGGACAAATTCATTTATTTTAGTAAATGTCCTTATTTTAATTTCTATACCTGAAACGGCAATACATTCGTTCCAAACTGTAGGAGGGAATTATAGAAACAGTTGTTTGAGGCGTGGAAGTAACTCATCAACCACTATCTTATTTGTTCTTTGTGAGGGGTGAATAGAATCCCAAAACACATACTTGTCTGCGTCTGGACATGTGAATGGACTAAGCCGGTTGCACAGCACCGCCGTCTCCAACAATCCTGTTCCGCAACACCCTTTTTCTACAACCTCAAAACCTGTCACTCAACGACCAAATTATAATCACTTTTAATACTGAAACATCGAAATTTTCTTTTTCTTTTTCATAAAATCATGCATTGTCCCTAATTCAAAGCATACGTAATATCAAATATCAGCTGAACACGAAGTACTTGAAATGCTTACCGTACTCCAAGGGTCTTGTGATGAGATCAATAAACAACCCATATACATCCGCGAAGAACACTGTTAACCCAGGATGGTCCTCGTTCAGCTTCGCCACCGTAGCATTTAACTTGCCATTGAACTCCAAGGCAACTTTGTTGCGTTCCTCGAAGCAGCCGAGAGGGTTTTTGATGTTCATCGTCCTCTGCACCGGAAGACACCCAATCGGAAGGAGGCTGGCCATGGACAACTTCCGAGCTCCCAGTCTGTAAATTTGCTTAATGAAATTTTTGGCAATGCCAATGAGGAAATCTTGATATTGTTGAACGGTGAAATGGAACTTTCTTCGAGGAAGGCCGTAGAAGTTTAGGATGAAATCATTGGTTCCTATGTTGATCACATATATAGCGTCTGAGATTACCCGATTCGCCTTCTCGTCGCCTAGATAGGCTCGGAGTTTCACTTGGTACTCCTTGTAGTACTCTACTTCTTTCCACAGAGGAATCACTTTCTTTCATATACCAAAAAAAAAAAAAATTAATGTGCTTACGCCTACGGATGAGTGGGACGGTCATCCTCATAAGTTTTTGTCATCCTCATAAGTTTTTAAATCCTCTTATATTTTAAACTTTTAAATATCATCTATTAATAGTTTATTTTCAACTTTAAAATTTTATAAGTTTATCTCAACATATTTTTACGTAAGTTTAGCACTCAACTAAATTGAAATGGTTGGAACTTTGTTCAATTACCAGTAAATCAGCTGTGGCATTGTCATATCCAGTTGAACCAGAACCAAAGGAAGCACCGGTGGCAAAGTCCGAGATATTAAATGCGGTGTCCAAGTAGGCAGGGATATTAGGTTTCAGCCCAAAGCCCTCCGAAATGAAATCAGGCTCAAGTCGGCCGTTGCAGAACCGTCCCGTCGGGATGCCTCCGGGAAAATCACGGCCATAAGGCTTGAAATTGCACTTGGCGAGTGTTGGGATGTGATTGTTGTTGCCCGTATCGACTAATGAATCTCCGAAGGCAATGATAGCCGACACTTTGGCTTCTAATTCAGAAGCGATAGCTAAGATTTGAATGAAGAAAATCCAGGGAACGATTATGGATGCCATGCCTGTTCGATAATCCCTGGAAGCATGGAGCAAGGATTTATAGCCCTTCGAAACATGAACACATATAGAATGAGTGAAGATAAAGCACAAGAAATAAATATAATACATAAAATTCGTATAAATGCATTAAGTATACAAATGGGTTATTAATAACTTTCATGTAATTAATTTTTTAACTAATAATAATGGTTTTTTTATCAATACTAATAATAATGATTAGTTTTACTGAATAGGATAGTTTATAAGATAAATGGAGGATTAAAAATTTAATTAGAAAATTCAAAGAAAACAAAATATACAATAATATTAATGGAGGAAAGATAAATACTAATATTATTTATAGAAAATATATATAATAATGATGACACATTGATAAATTAATTTTATCAAAATTGAATTACCGTTTTTTTTGTGATTGAAAACATTTTTTTAATAAAATATTAATTTAAGGGAGAATATCAAATTAACGTTGAAAAATGTATTACAATAACACATAAAAAATATACCACAAAAATGGATAAAATCATTCACAATTTTTATACAAAATAACAGAATAAATTAGATAAATGATATAACTTGAATATCCAAAATAAAAACATGATTTAAGTTATGATAAAGTGAATAGAAACAGAAATAAACACGGTGAAAATTAATGTTTGACGATCATAAACTAAATTTGATGCTATTGTCGACGATAAAAATATATATAAAAAAAAAACATAGAAGAGAAGTGATGAGAGAGGGAAATAACTAAAGAGTGCAGTTCTGACCTCTTCCATCGAAACCACTTTATCCATGGTTTTTTAAGTTATTGGCTTTTTAGTACTTTTTAAATTGAATTGATGTGTTATGTCTGGCTGATATACGGGTAGTTCTGTCGTACGACAGCTTAATATATGTCTAAGGAAAGGCGCTTCCGGAAATGTTAATGTTGTTTTAACATTTTCGGTAAAGCGCTACCTAAAACATTATTTGTTCTGCCGGAAATGTTCATTTCGCTACCTAATTTCCGGTAGAAAAAACAGTAGAAAAGTAAAAAACATTTTAGGTAGAGCCCAATATTAACATTTTCGGTAGAAAAAAATAATCTTTTAGGTAGCGCTTTACCGAAAATACTAAAAACCATTAAAATTTCCGGTAGCACATTTCCTTAATCGTATATCAGTTCTGTTGTACCTTAGACATCCCCTGATATACCCACATATTTGAGCTATATATTATGTCCACAACAATTAAAGGTATGTGGAAGGTAGTAGGTTAGGCAGTGGCTAAATGAAAATTGGCCATTTAACAATATTGAAAAAGTCTTTACTAATTCATTGCACTTAATTAAGTATTTAATATTTTAAACTTAATGATACATTATATATTTATTTAAGGTTTAAGGATCACTTTTGTCTCTATAGTAAATCTAATTTATTAATTTCACCTCTATCGTATTCTTTTTGCATCAAATTAGTCTTTGAGGCTGTTTAGGGTGTTCATCATAGCCCTTGAAGTACGCTTTGAGTAACATAATTGTTAATCTTATGCTTTTATCAACTCTGACAATTTTCAGATCAACCAATATCACTTACGTGGCTTAATGATGACATGACATGTATTAAAAATAATTAATAAAATAAATAATAAATACAACGTTAGAAAAAATCCCCAAATTTTTTATTTAATCTCTTAATCTGACTGAAATAAATAATAAAATTTTGGAAATTTATTCTAATCATTGTGTAAAACCCGCAGACCGATGCGGGTAGCCCAATCCGATCTGAGGCGTCACATTAGGGCCACCGGAACGACCCACAGTAAAAATCCTAAAAAAATTTAAAATTTATTTTAAAGCGTGTAAAATCATAAAAAAATATAATTAAAAAACAAGTTCAAAAAAACATTCATATACTACAAACATAATTAAAATCATACACGTTTGAGACTTGGATATACAAACAGAATACAACATACATGCCCCCTAATCACATGCAATGTACTCCACAAGAACGCCGGTGGAACTCCAATACTGATGTCGATAGCTAAGCTGGATCAATTGTTTTAACATGAAATAGTGAGTAGTAGAGTGAGCTTTGGGAAGCTCAATAATACAGAACTAGCAAGTGATGCTGAAGGACATGCAGATAATAGGTAAGCATAATTTTCCTTATTGATTCAGACATCTACAGATTTTTGTGATGAGTTGAGGTCCCACTGATATTTCAGGTAGTAAAAGACAATAAGCTCACATTTTAGAGGGAATTTTCAGAGGACTACGTTTAAGAGATCAGAAAAAGAGTGTCTAGTACGTTCCCACAAAACCAGTGAAAAGGTACATATCTTCTAAAAAGTAACATTTTAAAACGTATTTTTAAAATTATTGTAAAACCGTCCAACCAAAAGCCAATATGCAGTTACCCATAATTGCATCCATAAGGACTTACCTTAGGCCCAATGGCATAGGTGCCAATCTAAGGGAACATCTTGGGTCCATAACATCTTACCCTAGCCGAAGCGTAGGTGTCCACCTGAGGGGAGTGCCCTTAGGTCCATAAGGACTTACCCAAAGCACATAGCAGAGGTGCCACACTAAAGGAGTTTCTTAGGGTCCATATGGTCTTACCACTAGGCACATGAGGCATTGAAGCCTACCCAAGGGTCACCTTAGATTCATAAGAAATTACCAGCTCGATCGGTCTGAACCTTTATAAGGAATTACTAATTTAAACGAGCTAAACATGCCGTAAGGAATTACTAGTTCGATCGATCTAACCCTATATAAGGAATTACTTGTTTGATCGAGATGAACTTGTAGAGACATCATACCAGATTCCAGAGTACTGCGAAGAAAATATTTTTCAAACAATAATCAGTGGCAGTAGGAAATCAGAGTTTAGACATATCAATTCAATAGAAACGGTATCCAGAGATCATGAATCATACAGACAGACTTAAAACTTCAGTAACTCATAAATCTCGATAAAACACATTTCAAAAAAGATAAAAAATCATATAACACATAGGGAACACACCAGATGATCCAATTATTTTTTGAAGGTACTAGTATTTATCAGGTTGGGAGCCATGAAACTTCTGTAAACAGATTAAATTCAGAAGTGAGATCCCTATAAAGGGTTTGATAGCTGACGGATTCATCAGCTATTCGGGACATGATTTATCAAGATCATTCAATATTAAGATATTTTCAGAGGCACTATGAATAAAAAATGCATTTGAAATCCTTTGCATCGGAGTTACTTATGATTTCAGATAAGACATAAGTGATTCCATTATTCAAGAAATTAGGGCATTTTGGACATTAGGTTCTTGGTATTTAAGATTCATGTCGATTTATTAGGATATCGAGTTAACTCGAACTTAACAAATCCCAACAATGTGATTTCTGTCAACCAGTCAAATCGTTGAACTTCAAGTGTATTCACGCTTTATTACTGACAACTCTTTTTGAACTGATCATCCTCAGAATCATCGCTGAATGGATCTTAGGGAGACGAACAGGTATTCATTCATTTCATGACTAGGGGTTACCTAAGGTCATTTACTCTCTAGGGGCTGTTTGGTAATTTTATAGTTCAAGGGTATTCAGTTATTTTCTTTCATTCAAACATATGTATCATTCTAGTAATTATTTATTAGATGGATTTATAAAAAAACCATAAACTCTAAACCTTTATCCATCTTAGAGGTTAGAAATCGATTATCCAAATTTTCTAAGCAAAACTAGCATTTTCCATGTACATCAATAGTTTTATCGGATCAATATGTCTTGTTGAGGTTATTTTTCCACTTTCAGTGACAATTATTGTCTTTTTACAACATAAGGGTATTTTCATAATTTTACCCCATACGGGTATTTTCGTAATTTTAACCCATAAGGGTATTTTTTATAATTTTACCCCATAAAGTTATTTTCGTAATTTTATCCAACCAAAGTATAATGAAAATTTCTCATCAAAGTACATTTGGAATTTAACCTTTAATGAGATAAATCAGAATTTACAGATCTTGAGGTTGGTTGCTTTACCACTTAATCACATAACTTGTAATTAAATTCCTATCGGTCCTCCAATTCCTTATATAAGTCATCTGAGTCATATTCAATTACCGACCTTTTTAACTAATTCAGATCGAGTTTAGAAATAATTTACTATATAGATGAGACCAAACATATTCATAAATGTATTTACCAATTCCAACATGTTCCATAATGCATGCATAAGGTAGTAATGTATTACCTCGATTTTTGTGCTCCATCGATCAAACATTTAAACTCCATTTGATCATTCTCGAAATTGAATTCAACGTCTATTAATTCCTTGGATACATAACAACCAAATTTATTTCATAAACTAAACTTAATTGAGAAACCAAATTGAATCCGAAGGTAAAACACTGAAAAACGACTTACCGAGTGTGAATTTGGCAAAACGAACTTTGAATTCAGACTCAGTACGTCAAAAAACATATAACAAGACTTTTTTTTAGAAAATTTGACTTGTTTGGTCAAAGTCAATGGTCGACGGTTGGACCAGTCAAAGTCAACGGTCAGACCAATCAATGGTCAACGGGTCAGGTAAAAGTCAATTGGTCGAGTCAAAATCAATGGATCGAGTTTGGTTAACTTTTTTCGGGTCAAATAGACCTGATTCAGAACGGTTTGGGTTGATTCAGACCTGTCTAGACCGACTAGACCAATTCTATAAGAAACTAGAGTAAGGGAACAAGATGACCGTACACACGGTAGTATGTGGTGGCACGTGGCTGCAGCGACGAGCTTGGGGTGATCAGCCGATTCTTCCAAGAGCATCCAAATACAGTTGGCTAAGGAAACTACGACGCTACGACGACTCATGGGTCCGATTTTGATCACAACTAGACGGGAACACAATATTAGAGGTGGTGGGACACGACGGTTAACGGTTTGGCTAGGATCGACGTAAAACTAAGGTAATCGATGGTGGAGAAATGAAGCTTTATGATGGGTTTTACAGTGA